TTTACAAAGATATTTGAGAGTTACTGTAAACATTATATCATATCTAAAAATCACTACAAAAATTATGTATAAAAAATATTTATGGGAAAGAAAAATACACAAATTATGTAGTTTTTCTCTTATAACCTGAAGTTGTCGTTTTAGTTTCCAGAGGGACTGATATATTTCACAAATACAAATAAGATGTTATAATGTGATGCAAAAAATGTTTCATGCAAGAAAAGTTAAAAATTTTGATTTTTTTTTATCACTTCCTGTGACGATCGGAAGTACGATATTATCCCAACAGAATTTGCCTACTTATCAAGATCTACCACTAATATAAGTTTGGTGTCTTTATCTCTTATCGTTTACGAGATCTTGCTTTGATAACTTCTCATTTTGAGGACAGAAAATCACGCAACCGGAAGTGAATTTTACAAAGATATTTCGTAACTTAGTCATTTGCAGTTTAAATAACATATCCAAAAATCATTACAAATACTTTATCTATAAAAAATATTTATGGGAAAGAAAAATACTCCAAATATGCAGGTTTTCTCTCATAACCGGAAGTTGTCGTTTTTGTTTGCGGTGGGACTGATATATTTCGAAACTAAAAATAAGATGCTATAATGTGATTCAAAAAAAGTTTCATAAAAGAAAAGTTGAAATTTTAGATTTCATGTATTGATCACTTCCTGTGAAAAACGGCGGACTGTGTTAACCCAAATGGTTTTGTACTTATCAGATCTTCACTATATAAATGGTCATCTCTGACCGTTTCTGAGATATGATGGGACAAATTTTTTTTGAAAAAGCGGAAATCGGACATAGCTGACGACCGGAAGTGAATTTTGAAAAACTGAAAACTGCATTTGAGAGATATTTTTACTCTCTATCATCCCTGAAAATTTGGAGGTTATCCAGTCATCTCTGAGAAATCGTCAAAAAAAGAAATTTCAAAAGGGGAAAAAAATAATAATAATAACTAGAAACTCTTGTTGCTACAGCAACAAATAAGGTCTTCCGTTCTCCTCTATGTATGTGTAAGAAGGATATTTTTCTATTTAAAAAAAAAAAAAAAATGAAAAAAAAAAAAAAAAAAAAAATAAAATTCCTCCATCTATATCCGAAAACCATTAATATGAGAGCGGACATGCTAACCACTGAACCACCAAATTCCACAACATTTAAGGTATTTTGTAAGCTTATTATTTTAAGGTTGAAGGAAGTTTCGAAGTGAAAGAAATAGTTTCAAATTTCTTAAAAACCTGAGATATTGGCTGTTTGATGTGATATTGTATGTAGGAAATTGATTAGAATAATTATGGGACACATTTGCAGTGAAGCAATGACACTTAGCATATACAGAGTTGTAAAAGCGAAAGTAATACACGTGGTCAGTTGCAGAGGAAATTGAAAATCCCGGAAAAACAGTGAGTGAGTCATGGGCATTTTTTCAACACCATATCATATCAAGCGGGGTAACTGCAATTGATTTAACCTATCTAAATTGCGTGGAAATTTAATTGATATGAAAAATCGCCATTTTCAAGATTCCGTTGATTCATATTTAAATCTAAATAAAATTGAAATAAATTCCATACACCCAAGAAAGCAAGAATACTTGGTATTAAAATGTCGTAATAGAGCAGAAGAATCGAATGATATTAACAACAATGGTAGCAATAGCCGATCTTTAATTAATGTTTATGCTCAGCAAAAACTAAATTTCAGACAGAAAAAAAAATGCAGATTTTGCCGATATTCACTACAATTTCATTATAGTTTAGAGACTCACCTTAAAACTATCAGGACAATTTCTTTCGGGTCTCTTCTTGCTTTTATTCTGAATCTCATGTCAATATTTCGTGCCGTTTGGCTTGAAGACATTTTCTCTACGTTGCTGCTGATTGTTTTTTTTTTTTTTTTTTTAGAGAAGGGTGAGAATATTGCAAGTTGCAATACCTCCACGATCTTAAGCTTGATCGTGACCTTTGGGGCCAAAGTACAAGGTCATTTATCAAGGTAAAAAGTCAAGGTCATCAAAGAGAGAGAGAGAGAGAGAGAGAGAGAGAGAGAGAGAGAGAGAGAGAGAGAGTTAAAATTGAGATAATCACCTTGAAGCTGAATCTAGATAAAGGTAATGAATATTTCTTTATTACTTTTTAGTAAGGGTCAAAGGGTTCATTTTGAGGTTTCTCTAGACATTTCTCTTAACATGTCCAAAATCATTTCAAATAGTCTTTTTATAAAAGATATTTATGGGATAGTAAGAAACTTCAATTTCATTTTTTCTCTCATGAAAGTTGTCGTTTTTGTTTAATGGGACCGACATATTCGAAACTACTAGTAAGATGCTATAAGGTAATACTAAGAAAGATTCCATAAAGAAAAGTCTAAAATTTTGATTTATTTGATTACTTCCTGGGACAACCGGAAGTGACGGCGGTACGATCTTAAACTCAAAGGATTTGTCTTCATCAAATTACCATCCCTATTACTTAAGTGTCTTAATCTCTTACCGTTAACGAGATCTACAGTGTAGCAATGATAACTTCTGATTTTGAGGAGAGGAAGTCACGCGACCGGAAGTGAATTTTACTGAGATATTAGACATTACTGTAGACATTTGCAGTCTGAATAACATATCCAAAAATCATTACAAATATTTTAACTATAAGAAATATTTATGGGAAAGAAAAATACTCAAATTATGTAGTTTTTCTCTTTTAACCGGAAGTTGACATTTTTGTTTCCGTTGGGACTGATACATTTCGAAACTACAAATAAGATGCTAAAATGTGATGCCAAAAAAAGTTTCATAAAAGAAAAGTTGAAATTTTCGATTTCTTTGATCACTTCCTGTGACGACCGGAAGTGACGGCGGACGATCTTTGTCTAACGGGTTTTGCCTACTCATCACGATATATCACTTGATTAAGTTTGGTGTCTTAATCTTTCACCATTTACGACATCTAGCTATGATAACTTAACATTTTGGGGACAGGAAATCACGCGGCCGGAAGTGAATTTTACAAAGATGTTTGACGTTACTGTAGACATTTGCAGTCTCAATAACATATCCATAAATCATTACAAATACCTCATGTATAAAAAATATTTAAGGGAGAGAAAAATACTGAAAATATGCAGTTTTTCTCTTAAAACCGGAAGTTGTCGTTTTTGTTTTCGGTGGGACTGACATATTTCGAAACTACAAATAAAATGCTATAATGTGATGCAAAAAAGTTTCAAAAAAGAAAAATTTCAAATTTTCGATTTCTTTGATCACTTCCTGTGATGACTGGAATCCAAGAACATCTTAACCCGATTGGTTTTGCCTACTTATCAAGATCTATTATTCATATAAGTTTGTCATAATCTCTTACCGATTCTGAGATATGACTCGGACAAAACTTTTTTGAAAAAAGCGGAAATCGGAAATATCTGACGACCGGAAGTGAATTTTGAAAAACTGAAAACTGCATTTGAAAGATATTTTTACTCTCTCTCATTTAAAATTTCACGAGATATCTATCCCGGCATCTCTGAGAAATCGTTAAAAACAAAAAGGGGAAAAAAAAATAATAAGAAAAAGAAAAAGAAAAAGAAGAAACAGTAGAATCACTATAAGGTCTTCCGTCTGAAACGGAAGACCTTAATAATAAGAAAAAACAGTAGAATCACTATAAGGTCTTCCGTTGAAACGGAAACCTTAATATTACTGTTCAAAGAACAATAGGTCTTTCCACCTTCTTTGAATTTCAATTCTGTTTTATATCAATTTAAAATTAAATATGAATAAGAAAACAAAATTTTTCTTAAAAGGATAAATAAAGAAGAAATAAAAAATTTAAAAAAAAAATAGTACCTTGACCTTTGACCTTAAAAATCTTTTCAAGGGTCAAAATGCAATTGAACCCCATGCCTCTACGACTTATACTTTTCAAGAATAAGGTTTAATAGTAAGTACAAAGATGTTAAAGGGCAATAATTCATATAAGGAGTCCATCAGATCCTTTCGCACTTATACGATGAATTAGGCCTAAAGACCCTTAAGACATTTGTGAAAAATGCTTATAGTGTCTATGGTTTCAAGGAGGCGATAACAAGGTTTTTCGCACAAGGGGCAATAACTTTTAAAAAGGTCAATCTAAGGGGACAAGAATGAAATCTTCACAAGAGTATTTAGAGTGCATATCACAGAGAGAAGATAGATTGTATATGTTTAAGGATATAAGAGCTATTAAAAGAAATTTATTCCTCATATTTGGTATGACCTTGAAATGAATTTGAAGGTCAAAGGTCAATGAAACTGATGGAGTTGGTTTCATGTCTCTACGACTTCTCGTTTTGAAAATTTTTAGTTTTTTATAAAATTTATAAACTTTCAGGGGCAGTTACTCATTGAAGGGGTCAAAGAAAACTTTCAATGAATATATTGAAAATCCTCCTAAATTAGTTGAAGACAATGGTGAAGGTTTTAAATCTCTACGGTTTACGGTTTCGGAGGAGTAGCGATAACAAGCTTAACGGTTAAAATAACTGCATAAGGGGTCCAAGTTAAAACATGGGGGTCATTTTTCGGAATAACTTTAAATATCCAGTATCATGAACTATAAAGTTTTTTTCTAACGGTGTCAAAACATAAGGTGAGAAATAGAATAATAAAAAACAGAAGCATTTCAAAACAGAAAGGTGGAAAGACCTAATAATAATAAGAAACAGAGTAAAAATTATGTTCCCCAACTTCGTTTGGGAACATAACTACAAGAAGTCCATGTCCCTTTAAACCAATTTTTCGTCCACACCGTGCACTTTATGTTATATGAACTATAGCTATGAAATGAAAACCTTCTCCTGTTCAACTTTTTCTTTTAATTACCTCTTAACATGGGTGTAAACACCTGATATCATTTTATGCAGTTAATAACTAAACGTTGTGTACTCTTGGTGTCAGTAAATATGATACATCTGCTACAATTTATTTTACTGATTGACATTTTGTTTTTCAGGGATGTACCCTAGTATCCACGTGTGTTTTGTTTTCTTTCTCCTTTTCGTCAGAATTCATACTGCATGGATCCCTAGGTATTCAAGAATTTTTATTCTCAATTTTAAAAAAAATCAACCATTATATTCATAGTTAAGGAATTTAAAAACCGTTTTATGATATGTCATCATCTTAACTGTTCAGGAATAACGCAGTTTTTAATCAATTTTTTTTCTTGTTTTAAGATATGATAAAAGATATGTAGCAGACTTAACATTACCTGCTTTACTGGCCAAGGCAGGGAATACATGTGCTCATATAAATTGTCGATACAAGGATCTCATTCTGTAAGTAAAAAAATATATGAATATATACCATATAATGCAATAAATGATGGGATCGTTAGTTGAACTTAGAAACATTTAAAAAAAAATTGTATCCCCCGAAATAAAAAAGGGTAAATTTAATAACGGATAAGAAATTGAAAAGAAGTCAATCAGAAAAGGATTTTTATTTCTTGTCGAATATATATGCTCATTTTTTCTTCCTTCCATTAAGAATTTTAAAACATCATTACAGATATGGAAAGCGGCGCAAACGAAATGCTTTGTTAAGGTCATACAATGCATGCTGTCGATGAAGATAGATCCATGAATGTTTACTGTGAATCAAATGTGTATTATAATAAACATCATTTTTAATCATGTCTTACAAAGTTATATTTTCGAGAAAAGTTAATGTTATATCCAAGATGCATTTAAATATGCGATTTCGGTATTACGGTTCAGATGTATAACCTATTTTCAAAGCACCATCATTGTATTTGCAATTAATGTTGGAGATAAACAATGATAAATGCTATTAAATTGGAGTAGCTTATCCTTATATATACACTATTTTGGTAGATAACTTCATCTTATCCGACTCTTTTTTATTCTGTTAAAACCATTTCTTTCTGAAAATTAATCTAATATTAATTAAACATTCAGAATACTGTAAATCACTTTTTATTCGCGAAAATATATTTTCGGGTAATTGGGCGATTGTTCTTAAAATTGATTCTCATTATAATAGTATTCCTCGTTGACTTATTAGCAGTCTCTCACCACAATTCGTGAAAATTTTGTTCGCTAAGTACAATACATTAACAGGTTCGCGAAAATAAGGTGTCGCGAAAATAGTGGTATTTACTATTATAGTGAAATTTTCTATATTTCCTGCTGTGGATAATAATTCAATTTATATTTTGCAAGGTGTTTGAACCGCATTAATTGATTGTCATTAATGAAAAAATCTACCACGTTGACTGTTTTGAATTTTAATAAATTTTATATCGCTTCGTTTAATAATGCATATCTTTCAAAACGGAAGTTGCATTTTTAACCTACGTTTACCTATGCATCAAAAATTATATAAAGAAGATGAATCTCACTTACGTCTGATCGGCAGGAATCATTTGTACGAAACATTTGCAATTGTCATGGTTTGGAAAGGTCATTGCAGGGTTTAACAAGAAAAAGAGGTTTATACATATGGCTGACCATAACTTGTAAGATTTTACGGAAACACAGCCATATGGCAAACATTTAGTTTGAAAAATTTGTACATTGATACACATTATGTCCGTTTCTATTAGGAGATTCAATAATATCAATCACAAGAAATTATAACACCTAAATAATCCAAAAAATTACTTATATCAAAGCTTAGGTAGAATATATCTAATTTTTAATTTCGGCTGGTTAATTATGCCCCTTGCAAGGAAACAAAAACTCTTTTTTCACTTCTACCGCACAGAAGGTACATGTAACTATCTTAACACATGTTCAAATAATTATGATATACAAACAGTACATTTTAAAAGGACAAATGCACCTTATTTAACACTTTGGATTTTGCACTTAGGAAAAAATGATTTAACTTTAAATCTTGAGAAAAATTTTTTACTAATTTATTTACTTGTTATTTGAATTAAAATGCATACAGAATTTTTCAAAATTATGGAGATTTATGCCATTGTATTATTTTTTAGAAAAACATTTAAAAATGTACCATTTTAACCAAATGTCATCATCTAGCTCAATTTTCAGCATTTTTTTAGAAATCAAAATCACTTTCGGGAAAATATTTTCCACCATTAAAAATTGAGCAAAGTAAATCAAATCGACCGCAAAAATTTAAAATTTTGTAAAAGTACTTTCACACTTTGAAAGCATATCCATGCAATGGAAGTACAGGATATTCAATAGCTGAACTTTAATCTTAAACTAAACTTTATTGATTAATATTTGTAATTAAATAAAAACTTCTTTTTGACCATATATTGCGCCAGAATTTCGTCAGGGGGGGGGGGAGTTCATCATCAGTTTTTTAAAATACAGTGCCACATTTTCTATGTATGTGAAAATTGGTTTAGTTAATTTTTATAGAGCCCCCCTTTAAACAACTTACAGCCTTAACACACACAAAATTGTAAAGGTGTTGAACTTTCTTACATCGATGAATCAATCTGATGAACAAACTCTGAAAAAAATCATTATCTACGCTTTTTAAAAAATATTTTTTATATACTTTGAAGACAGCTGAAAGAAAAATGTTACCGAACCACGAATTATTTTGATTTTTAACATGCTTTCCATTATTACAGAATAGGCTATGCTGCTAGGCGCTGTGCAAAATGTGGATTACCAAAATAATAAAACACTGTATCATTCGCAGCATTCGCAGCTGTATATGATTTCAAAACAATTTATTCAGTTGAACAGATTGATCCTTTTTTATTAAATATATTTATGTGAATTGACCACGTCACATGATGCTTATTATTTCAAGTAAGGAATGGGAGAAGGGGATAACATTTCAGTTTTTACTATATACTACCTTTTGTAATCTCTTTTTACAACAAAAATTATCAAATATCTTTATGAGCAAATGACAATGAAATTGAAACATTATGACAATTATATTTTAAAAGTTTATTAAGCATTTTAAAAAAATATTTTACTTATGATTTTCTTCATATTAATCAGCATAAGAATTATTATACTGATAAAACTATTTTTTCAAAAAATAACTTTTCTTCCTGATGTTCACTAATCATTGCAGTACTTGAGAAGAAGATTCGGCCTATAAATTCCGATGTAATAACTTTTTCGTTTACCATAACGAGCCTCCATACCCGTAACCATGATACAAAATAATCTACACTACTTGTTTAATTCAATAAACCCTATCCAGTAAGTTGACAATTGCAAGAAGATTTTTAAAATTTTCACATTAATACTCCAAGTAAAAATTTGAACGGCCATTAAATACCCCACGCAACCATCGGTTGCTATGATTAAAAATGCAATCCGTTACAAAAAGGATGCCTCCACATTATTAAACTTTCCGGCCCAGAAAATTTATTAAAATTCAAAACATGTAAAACTTTTGTTCACCTTAATACTCACCATGACTTGCGGTTCAAACACCTTGAATCTACACGGATGCTTCCACATGAGTTTATCTTTCCTGGCAGTGAAATCTTAGAAATTTCACTATAATAGTGAAATACTCCTATTAAAAATAGCGGCCATTTACGTTTCCCCCCAACCTGTTTAATGTCAAAATGTCGATCGCGAGATTCTTGGGAAAACCTACGTTTACCTACTGCATCAAAAATTATATAAAGAAGATGGGCATATTTGGCGTGTGATCGGCAGGATTCATTTGTACGAAACATTTATGGTTTAAATGTCCATGATTTGGTTTGCTGACCATAAGTTGTCAGAATTTACAAACACAGCCATAGGATTATTTTTTTCATTTAGTTTGAAAAATCTGTCAGATTGTAACATTTATGTCCGTTTCTATTAGGAGATTCAATAACATATAGCAATGCTTCACAAGAAATTTAACACCTATAAGATATAAGGCTTAGATGATTCGTGTACATGTACATCAAAGCTTAGGTAGAATAGAGTATTGAAATTAATTTCGCTCTCAATGCACATGATGCAACTGAACCAAAATTTATCAAATTCAAAATTTTAATTTATCAGTACATAAAATGAAACTGACAAAATGATTGATTGCTTGCATTAAAAAAAATTAACGCCCCATGCAAGGCTCAAACCAAAAACTTTTTTCACTTCTACCGCACATGTACAGGTACATGTAACCCATCTTACTGAGCTATCACTGCTCTACAAACAGTACCTTTTAAAAGGACAAAGAAGCACCACATTTACACAATTGGATTTTTATGGAAAAAATTCATTTTTTATGGTCTCTGGGTCTTCTCTCCATTTTTTACTAATGCATATTCGTTTTTTTTTAATTAAGATGTACACAAATAACGTTTCAAAATTGTGGAGAGAAGACCCAGAGATAGAAAAGTTTTAGAAAAACGTATTCAAAAATGTACCATTTTTTACCAAATGTCCAATCTAGCCCATTGTCAAGTTTTTTTGGGGTTTTTTTAGCAAATCAAAACTCACTTTCGGGAAAATATTTTCCTTTCCCATTTCACAGGAGTCAAATTAAAAAAAAAGTTTTTCACGTGAGAAGTCGATAAAATTTTCACTTTTCAAGTGCTTTGCTTTGCTGTCCTTGAAATTAAAGAAAAATTTGAAATATTGTTTCTTTGTAATTCTTCTTTAAACTTTGATCACCCATTATGGCCACACATTTTCCCTAGGAGTTATAATTTGAATAAACATAAATCTACACAACATGAGGATGCTTCAATATAACTATGACCAGTCAGGAGATTTTAAAATTTTTCCTAATAGATGCGTTTCTATGTTAAACTTTGATCCCACATTTTGGCCTCACCCTACCCCTAGGCCCGTGGGTCATGATTTGATCAAACTTGAATCTACACTACCAGAGGATGCTTTAACATAACTATGACAATTTTTTTGTTCTTCAAAAGAAGGTTTTAAATTATTTTTTCTATGTACATGTATTCCTATGTTTAAGTTTGATACTCCACTGCGACCTTTCCCTATACCCCGTGGTTCTTGATTTGAAGAAACTTGCATCTATACTATACCTCAGGATGCTTCCACATGAGTTTCATCTTTCCTGGCCCACGTGTTCTTGAGAAGATTTTTCCCCTCCGTATTCCTATGTTAAACTTTGATCTCCATTGTCGCCCCACCCTACTATGTGGGGGGGGGGTGTCATGATTTGAACGAACTTGAATCTTCACTACTTGAGGATGCTTCAACATGAGTTTCATCTTTCCTGGCCCAGTGGTTGTTGAGAATAATTAATAGATGCCATTAATTTTTCACCAGTTCATTATAATCCCCTCTAGCTTGGCCCTTCATTTGAACAAACTTAAATCCCCTTCACCCAAGAATACTTTGTGGTAAGTTTGGTTGAAATTAGCCGAGTGGTTCTTGAGAAGCTTTAAATGTGAAAAGTTGACGACGATAACAACAACGACGACGACAACAGACAGATTATGATCAGAAAAGCCTACTTGATCCTTCGGCTCAGGTGAGCTAAAAACAGATATGTCCAAATGCTTCGTTCATGATAATTCAAGAGATAATTAAATACGGATTATTGCTTCAAGCAAAATTAACCAGACATGTCCATTTCAACTACATAAAGTTACCCAAACTAGACTTGTTGATGAAACTAAAATATTTAGAACTTTTAATGTTCAGAAGTTCTTGTCACAAGGAATACATCTATGA